TTCATTCCTCGGATGACTTTAATACCATCTAACTCCGGACTGCCAATTAAATTTCAGAGAAGACAATTTCCGTTGATTGTTTCTTTTGCAATGACGATCAATAAAAGTCAAGGCCAAACTCTTTCGCATGTTGGTTTGTATCTTCCTAGGCCTGTCTTCAGCCATGGTCAACTATATGTTGCACTGTCCAGAGTTAAGAGCAGAGCTGACATTAAGATATTCATCAAGTCTGATTCGGGTGAACTCACCAATGTTACTAGAAATGTCGTGTACAAGGAAGTATTTCATCGAATTTGAACGTATAAATATTTTCATATTTATGAGTTATTCATGTAACATGTTTTTTTTATTTTTTAAAGAACTTATTCTTTTGCATGTGTTTCTTCTCTATATATTTTCCTCGGTGCAATGTTATTTTTAGTCATGTCCCGAGGGTGCTCGGTGCAAATCGTATTATCTTTAAGATTTATTTTTGCCGATATACTAATATTTAATAGTATTCTTATATTATAACTATGAAAAACATGACACTTATAACATAGTTTTATTATTATTGGTCGATGACATTTTGTACTTAAATAATAGATATCTGCGTAAATTTATTTTTCAGACATGTTTTTCCATTTCAAAATATGTCGCCCCGTGCATCGCACGGGTGAATACTAGTTTCTGTAAATACTACTACATGACAATTCTGTAATTATTTGCTGAGTGTAAAAAAACTAATTATTTGAGGATCAATTTTGTGTCACAAAAGTTTAACGACCAAAACTGTAATTATCTCTAGTTAAATACGTATACAATGGTTTTTAGAAAAAAATACATATAAAATTTTATAAGTGGTTGCATTAGATAAATGATACTCCCTATGTTCCATAATAACTCTCTCTTTTTAAATATATTTTGTTTTATATTATCTGTCACTTTAGATTTCCAATACTCCATTAATTACTTAATTTCCAGTTTATACCATTATTAATTCTTCTTATACTTATTTTTTAATTCATTTGCCTCTTTTATTAACTATAAGATAAGGTCATTTCAATCTAAAAACATACATTTTTCATAAAATCAAGACAAATTTAATAGAATCCTAAATCCGTGTGCAAATATAAAACGACTATTAAAAGGGAACTGAGGGAGTACTTTTTAAGGAAACATAGATTTTTTATTTTCTTCCCAAAAAAATCCAATCCTTGTTCGAAACTCTCCAAAAGAATTTTGTAACTTTCCTAAATATAGTAATAACATGATTTTCGAAAATAACCAAATAACGAAGGGTCAATTAGCGAGAACCCCCTCATTATTTGTTTTCATAGAACTAAACTCACTTTGTTATTTGCATTTAAGAGTCCCCCTAACTTATCATATAACTCCATTAGACCATTACATTATTCCATTTTCCCACCCATGTTACCCACTACCTATATATCGTTATATTTTCTACTTTTTTTAATAACTTTATTTTTTAATCAATTAATTTATTTTTTTAATAAATTTGTCTTTTTTTCCCCTGACAGATTTACCATATTTTCTACTTTTTTTTAATAAATTTATTTTTTAATAAATTAATTTTTATAAATTATTTTTTTTTTAAATTCATCTTTTTTTCCCTGATAGATTTACCGCATCATAAACAATTACAAATTACAATTATCAACTACAATTTTTTTTAATTTTTTTTTCTTTATTAACTAAAATTATAATCAGCTACAAATTACAGTAATCAACTACAAAATATTATTAGATAATCAACTATATTTTATTAGATAACCAGCTATAATTTTAACGTACATACAATTCAAAACAACTATTTATTATAACAAAAATGACTGTACAAAATCATAATCAACTACAAAATCGCCGAAAGTAACTACAAAAATCACCGAAATCAACTACAAAATCACCAAAACCAACTAACAAATTATCGAAATCAGCTACAACAAAACTCAACAAGAAAAGTAAAAATCAACTACATATCGAAAAAAACTCAAAACCATAGTCTTGAATCAGATATATCTTCAATGTCCAGCCTTTATTTACAAAAGGTTCGACGATTTGGATATCTGTGTGTACCATGAGTGTATCTCTATTATTATTTTTTTACAGTGACCGACAGTGTAATTTATCCAGTTGACTATTCACCACTGTACAAAACGATAAGACCGCTAGAGGCACATACGTATTTGTCGGCTTCTTTTCTCTTATTCCTCTCCGTCCGGTGGCTGTTCAAATTTAACCTCCTTATCTACGCTTATCTCAATGGAGTCATATGAAATGTCTGCGCAACATTTTAATTCCAATCGAATCGATAAAACGTTGTGGCTTTGAAGTGGATTGATCGAGAAGAGAGGGGGAAAGAGTTGAATTGTGTCACCAACCCTCATGAGGAGAGTTGGTACCTAGCCTTTACCAGTAGGGTAATTAAAGTCTAGGGTTCGAGTCCATCCCTCCCCTACTTCCCCTTGTAATGAACTTGAATTTACTCAAAAAAAAAAAATGTGTCGCAAGAGAGAGAAGGAGGAGAGTGGATGAGTGAATGACAACGTGTTTCAAGAAGTAGGGGTAATGAAGTAAAAAAGGTAACTTGGGTATATTAGGTAGCAAAGGATTTATGATTAATTTAAGGGTTAATATACTAGAGGTCCCTAGTTGGAAACATAATTAGATGTGAGATACAACCCTAATATATTTTTATGAACTAAATCATTTTTACAAAAATAAATATGATCCATATCTTTTACATTTTTTTTATCCCAAATTTGCTCTCAACCTAAACCATAAATTCTACAGTCACACTTCTCTCAAATCTATTTGTTTTATTTCTTCTCTCTTCTCTCTCGTTTCGCTCGTTCTCTCTGCTCTCTCTCACAATAAGCTATCTCTCTCTCTCTTTCTCTCGTTCTCGCTATCTCTCTCCCTCTCTCTTTCTCTCGTTCTCTTTCTCTCTCTTTCTCTCATTCTCCCTCTCCATTACTTCACTCCATTGTTGAGGAGGGATGGCTATGGCGCAACTATGGCGATGGAGGCGGCGACAATAAGATGATGGTTATGGAGGCAGTTGACGTTGGCGACTATGGTGGTGGAGGTCTGATCTATGGCGGATGGTGGCGGCTAGGTTTTAATTTGGTCGACGGCTATGGCGGCTAGGGTTTAATTTTGTTGACGGCTAGGGTTTAATTTGGTCGGGGGCTAGGGTTTAATTTGGTCGATGGCTATAGCAGCTAGGGTTTAATTTGGTCGGCGGCTAGGGTTGGTGGACGACTATGTTTTTGCAGATTTGGTTTGGCGGTGGCTGAAATTTGTTGGGTGCTATGATTTAACGGTGGCTGGAAGAGGGTTTGGCAGCAGCTGGGAGTTGTTGAATGATAGCGTTCAGAATAGTACACCATAATATACCGTAGAATACCATAGTATACACTATACAATAGCATAGCATAACATAGTATACCATAGTACACTATAGTATTTTAAAAATCTGCTGTAATATTTGATAAAAACGAAAAAAAATATTTTTTCGTAATTTTCAATAAAATGTTCTAAAAAAAAGTTACTTATAATAACGTAAAAAATGTTAGAGTAAAAAACGAATAAATAAAGATGACCAAGTCGGTAAAAATAAAATAAAATATATTATTAGATGAAAAAATGAAGATATTAAATGCATAATAAAATGATAAAATGTAGCTTGAATTTAATTAATACAAATTCGAATTTATGTATGGAGGGGCATTTTTTGAATGAATTTAATAAAGGATGTGAAACAAAAGTTTAGTTAGGCTTGTCATTTAGTTCAAATTAGTTTTGTCACCGGAGACCTATATCATAAGAGCCCTTAATTTAAATATCAAAAGGGGATATTGGTAAAAGGTAGGGATGGTCATGGCGCGGGTTTGGGGCGGGTTTTGCATTCCTCGCACCCGCCCCGTTAACAAACCCGTTCAACCCGCACCCGCCCCGCAATGGGTATAAATTTTCTCAACCCGCACCCCCCCCATAGAAAACCCGCAGGTACCCGCCCTGCTATATATATATATATATATATATATATATATATATATATATATATATATATATATATATATATATATATATATATATATATATATATATATATATATATATATATATATATATATATATATATATATATATATATATATATATATATATATATATATATATATAGATGCGGGGCGGGTCTATGGGGCGGTACGGGGCGGGTATATACAAACCCGCACTCGCCCCGAACCCGTTTTCAGGTGAACAATTAGAATCCGTACCCCCGCATTTATTTGCGGGGCGGGTATTACCCTGAAATTTCGGGGCGGGTCGGGTAAAAATTGATGATGGAGAAGTAATATATTTTAAATTTACTGATTTCTAATTGAAATTTATTTGATTGATTTGCTATATATTGATTTCTAATAAAAAAATTATTTTGTTGATTTGCAGCCAGTAATTTGATGTGGAACATTTTTCCAGAAAAAAAAAAAAAAAAAAAAAAAAAAAGAAACAAGAAAATATTAACTTGTAATGAATATAACGCTATACGCTGTAGCAGGACTATGTGACACATTCGCACTAAATAGCATAGAAAATTTCTTCTTCTTCTTTTAATTTATTAATTTTTATCTTTTTTACGGACACACAAAATAACAGAGATGGAGCCTTCAACAGTACAAAAGTGGACAATATCTCATATCCTAGTTTTTTTTCATTAGCTACACAAATAATCTGCTTGCCTATATTTTCCCAGAAAAAAGACATACGTATAAGGGCCACTTTCGAATCCCTGCATTCATACGCGCTTTGAGATGAGATTAATAAAAAAAATGATACGACCATGGATCCTCATGTTGAGCAGCACAGCCTTGAGCATTGATCCACCCACGTTTTCAAAGTATATGTATAATCATCGGAGGAAAAAAGTATTAAAGGGCAGAAAGATGGGATGTGCATTTAATTTGAAAGGATATTCACTAGGCCAACATGATATACACACTTCAATCGGAAACACATCGCAAAAAATCGTACCAAGTCATCGCAAAACTGTGTTATTACAGAAGCTCAAATAAATAATTTATATTTTTGGCACAACTTTCTTCATCATTTTCAGAAGAACAACATCTTTCTTGGATCCTTGAAGGTGATTAATTAACATGGACGAAGTAGCTGCGTTGGCCGAGAATCCCCTTTTGTACATTTCCTCTAAGAATGGCATTGCCTTGTAAACCTCTTTCCTCTTTAGCAAACCTTGGATTATGTTGTTGTATGTCACGCTATTCGGTGCACAACCGCTTCTCTTCATTTTCACAAGCAAATTTTTTGCCTCGTCTACAAATCCTTCATGACAAAGTGAACCAACAACAATGGTATACGCTTGACAATCAGGTTGCAAACCTTTCGAAGGAAGTTCGTTTAAAAGATGTTTTGCATCTTCAAGTTTCCCATCCCTGCACAAACCGTTAATCAGGATACGATACGTGATTATATCAGGACTTGCTCCTTTATCTTCCATCGCCCGTAGAAATGAAAATGCTTCAGAAATCTGATGAGTCTTGCACAAGCCATCCAACAAAATATTGTAAGTAAATAAATTAGGATGCACTTTCCGAGTCTCCATATCATTGAAAAGTTTCCATCCATCATTAATTCGACCTTCACTAAGAAGTCCATGTATCATGATGTTATAGGTAGTTATTGTGTGCTCTAAGCCTTTCGAAGAAACTTCGAGAAAAAGACGCCAAGCTTCATCAACTTTTCCGTTCTTGCAATACCCATTGATTAAAGAGTTATAGCTGATAATACACGGCTTAAGGCCGCTGCTCGCTATGGAATCAAATACCTCTTTCGCTTTATCCATTTTCCCTTGCAAACAATACCCATCTATCAGTGCAGTGTAGGTGACAATATCGGGACGAATGTTTTGTTGCTTCATAATTTCCAATACCTCCCGAGCCTCTTTAACATTTCCTTCCTTGCAAAATGCGTCCACCAATACAGTAAAAGTAACAACAGTTAAAGAAATCTTGTGATTCACCATTTCATTTAATAAATCCTTCACCTCTTTCCATCTACCAAAATCGCACAAGCCCTGAATCATCGAGTTATATGTGACAACGTCAGGTGAAATGCCCTTATCAATCATTCTAGACTTCAGCTCGAGTGCATTATCCACCATTCCGGTCTTGCATAAGCCATTTATTACAGCGTTATAAGCCTTAACATCGGGTTTATAGATAGTAGTTTTTTCCAACAACAAAAGCAAATCACGGGCAGTATGAACACGTCCAGCTTTGCAGAGCCCATCAATCGCAGTTAGAATCGTAACATCGTCTGGCTCACAAAGATTCAAAGTCAAGATCTTCTTGAACAATTTCTCTGCCTCGGCCACATTACCATCTAAAAAGAATCCTTTTAGGAGAGTGTTGAATGTCGTAACACCTGGCTTGTGTCCGAGTTTAAAGAAGCAGCCGAAGATAGCAAAACCAATGTCTACGCGTTTCAAAAGGCAGCAACAATTAATTAAGATGGTCATTGTGTACTCATCTATAGGGGCACCCCATTGACGCATTTCGTCGAACAGTTTAAGGGCAACCGAATATTGCTTCATCTTGAAAATAACTTGCAGTAGTTTGGTGAATTTAAAAACGGAAGGCTGTGGCTGCATTCTAACCATTTGACGAAACAAGAAAACAGCATCATCTAATTCATTTATACAACTCAAATCTATTCTGGGTTTAGGTGAAAAGGATCGATCTTTGTGACTCACACTATGAAAATTTGAACAGAAGAAAGAAAAGGGATAAGTAAAAATAGCGTAATGGTGGGAAGATTTAGCGAATAATGCTCTACGAATCAGCATTTCAGTTCCTCTCATTTTTTTCAGCAATTTTATGAAGATAATTTCAGTGAAGAATGAACTGGTACCTACAGAAGAAGAAGAAGGCTCGGAGACTACCGAATTTTTTTATTTTTTTATTATTTTTTTTGTTTTTTTGTTGTTTTTGTTTTTTGATTTCTAATTTTTAATTTCTAATTTTCGCACATTACCCCTATTGTTTTTTTAAAGTGACTGCCCCCTTTAAAATGTTATTCTTGTTGCACATTGCCCCGATAGCAAAATTCCGATGAATTATTCATCGTAATTGAGTATTTTCGGGCGACGGGTTGTCGTGGCTCTGATTAGTTGACGAAGCACTAGTTGAATTCAACATTGGTTGACGTTAGTTTTTCTTTTCCCAACCCTTTTTTTTTCTCGGCAATAGGTTGTCGGATGTTTTAATTTGCTGACTCCGCATTAGTTGACTTCTTATTAGCTGACTTCAACAATAGCTAACATTCAACTATTTTTTTGAACTTTTTTTTTCGCTGGTGGGTTATCGGAGATCCAATTTAGTTAACTAGTGCTAAAGTGAACTAATGCTTAGCCACACATGGTTGTCATACATGATTTGCCTAGTGTGATTCACGTTTCTCATATGATTTGCAAGTTTTTAAACAAGAGGTAGGTTTATCCATTGCACCTATATGGTTGGATGCGGGTTCCTTTTACCCAAAAAAAGAAAAAAAGACTAATGCTTAGCCAGCTAATTGAAGCTCCGACGATCCACCACCAAAGTTAATGCGTACGTAGTTAGCTATTTGATCAAAGCTACGACTACACTCGCATTTCAGGAGAAGTTTTGGCCGGAAATAGTCAATTACGTGATCGGTGCTACAAATAATAGAGTTTAGGGTGTGCAACTTTTTTTTAGTCTAGGGGGTAATGTGCGAAACAATCCAGAGTTTGGGGGCAAAATGCCATTAATACTTTTTAAATATTTTGTTAGGTACTAACAATATTAAATAAGGGCAAAATGCACTTTGCCCCCTTAAAAAACTCACAATTTGCACTTTCCCCCCTAAGAAACCGAAAAAGAGACTCTCCCCCTTCCAAATTGTGTCCCAGTTGCACTTTGCCCCAAAATTCGAATTGCAGTGTTTTTTTCACCGGATTTCAAATATCTCCGTGCACTTAAGGGGTATATGCGTCATTTTAGGGTATATATGTTTTTCTTTTAAAATTTTCACCTGAGTATAAATTCCTCCTCCTAAATTGCAATTTAGAACTTTCTTAAGAACCCTAACCCCCTTCCTTCTTCCCACCACCGCACCACCACCACCTCTGCCACCGCACTTCATCATCATAAAAAATCGTCATCAGCTCTAGAGCAAAAGACCCATCAACTAATGCTTGCTCTCACTATTTTCAAGTTCTTCAAAACACTAGTTTTCTTCGCCACAGCCATAACCTTCATTACGCCCACACCATTGTTGCTCAATTTTCGTATTCCCATTATTAAATTTTGCAGCTCGATTGATGTCGCTCCCGCCTTCTGCATCACCAAAATCGACCATTTCTGCAACAAGGAAGACGACGACGTTAATTGCACATAAATAACTCCAATTTATTCGCCCACCTAAAATCATATGTGCTATGTTCGACGATGGATTGTTTGAATTTAATGTTAGAAGGCGGATTATCCGGATCTGGGCTGAGTTCTTCGTGGTGCTGTAGCAACTGTGGTGTGGTGGTGTTGCGTGGCTGCTGGTGGCGGAACAGAAGGTGGATGCAGAGTTGTTTGGCGGTCGAAATTGGTGGGGGAGGTGCCACGGGAAGAAGATTACTATTTTTTTTTTCTTTTTTTTTTTCCAGTTATATTGAATTTATATTTTTGCATTTTGTTTCTTTAAATTTCAATACTATTAAAACTTTATTAAACAATAATGAAAATATTTGCAACATGAATGACAAATATGAAAATATTTTTGGAATTATGCAAAGTTGAATATATTGCATTAAAAACTATAATTTGTAAATGAAAAAAATTAAACAAAGAAATAAATTCTTTTAAGGAAAAATACGTTTGCACCCTTAAATCTTTTTAAATGGATGGAAAAGATGATTTGACGCATATACCCCTAATTTGATGGAGAAATTTGATTTCCGGTGAAAAAAAACACTGGAATTCTAATTTTGGGGCAAAGTGCGACTGGGGCACAATTTGGAAGGGGGAGAGTCTCTTTTTCGGTTTCTTAGGGGGGAAAGTGCAAATTGTGAGTTTTTTAAGGGGGCAAAGTGCATTTTGCCCATTAAATAATTATATAGTCCCCAATTTATATATCTTGTACTATATTAGCTCTCTTTTTTTATTCAAACTAGTATTTTACCTCGTGCGTTGCACGGGTGGATATTGAAAAAAAATATAATATAAACAAAATAAGAATGTAGTAAACATATATGATATGTACAATAGCAAGACAATGGAACACTGAAAATGTAAAAATTCCACTAATTGCAATCATAATCTATGTATATATTTTAACAATGAATTTAATACACATGTGCTATAAAAAAAATGAGAGAAAAGTTAGTGCTAGAATGGGAAAAAAAAAATTAAAAAGAAAAAACAACCGTAAAAAAAAAATTCAAAGTTGACCGTGTTTAGTGTCGAAGGGGAAAAAGAAGAAAAAAAAAAAAGAAAAACAAAATAATTTAAAAACGTGTCCTATAAAAAAATAGAGAAAATTTAGTGCTCGAAGAATAAAATAGAAGAAGAAAAGGGAAAGAAAATACTTTTAAAAATAAAAAATGTGAAAAAAAAAAAAATTGAACGTGTTTAGTGGGGAAGGGAAAGAAAGGAAGAAGAAAAAAAGAAAAAGAAAACAATTAAAATAAACCGAAACGTGTTCTTTAAAAAAGGAAAAAAAAAACAAATAATATCGAATGCGCTATGAAAAAGAAGAAAGTAAAGGAAATAAATATTTCACAAAAATATTCAAAAAAAAACTGTTTTTAGGGTTTCGGGAAAACCTTTCTTTTATATATAAAGATGTATCATATCAATTCCCAATATATCAATATCTTCTTTAATTGGCCATGTAGTGAATGGTGTAGCGGTTGGAGCAAAAGAACAAGTCTAAATTAACCCAAGTTCAAATTTCCTGCCTAGGTAAATATAAAATAAAATAAAACAACTGATTAAAACAAGGGATATGTGGCAACCAAATCAATTGAATATTACATGTAAGGTCAGTCATAATAAATGGTAAATTATGAAAATTCCCCTGAACTTAGGCTAAATTACAAAAACACCCCATCTATTCGTAATAGTACAAAAGAGTTGTGAATGTGTTACTAAGAAGAATAAAAATTCCATGTAAAGGTCCTTTAAGGATCATTTTTGTCTTTAAAAAGTAGCATAAAGAAATGTCACGTCTACAGAAGTAGAATTGGCATTTTTTTAGGAATAATCCCTCGACTCAAAAAGATTCCATGAAAAATCCCACCATAAGGGGTAGGTGTAAGACGAAAACAAACGTATGGGAATTTTGGTAATTACGAATACTGTAGGTGCCGATGTTTTTCATAGTTCAGGCTCAGTACAGGGGTTCTTTTGTAATTTACCCAATAAAGAAAAATAAACACAACAAAAGTAAGATGATAAGGCTCAACGTAACTTGAATTAGTTACAAAATAGGGCAAATTGCACATCACCCCCTAAAAAACTCTAATTTTCACACTTTACCCCCTCAAAATTGTAAAAAATGAATGCCCCCCCTTCAAAATGTTATTGTTGTTGCACATTACCTCGATAACAATATT